ATATTTTTTATTTTAATATTTATTAAAGTCATATCCGTCTGTGTACGATATAACACATGTTGTACTGAACAGTAGATATACAAATTATATAAAACAATACAAATATATATAAAAGAATTTTATTTGTCCTTTTACAGCTTCGTTATGTTATTCATTAAACAAAGAAATATAGAAATAAAAACGTATTTTTCTCAAATAAAATTAGCTCTTATTTACAGTTCTTAAGTAATTGTAGACATTAGATATGGGCTATGGAAAATCCAAAATTTTTACATTAACTACTTACCACCATCATTAAGTCCATTCCGTTCACCATTAAACATAGACTTATCCGAATATAGAATTTATCCTGAGCTATGTTCATCTAGTAGCTTGGTTCGAGTGTCGTTTGCTACACCTTGTAGGCGATTTTCTAATTTTTATAAATAATTGTAAATATCAGATATGGAGTGTGAAGAATTCAGAATTTCTATATTAACTATTTTCATCACTATTTTCATCATGCGTCAACTACTAAACAGTAATAGTAGGCTTCTTTAAATATAGGATCTATCCCGAGTCGTGTTCATCCAGTAGCTAATTTTGTGTAAATGTTATTGCTCCATCTTGTAGGCGGTCTTCTAATTTTCTACTCGTACCATTCCAGAATTTTTGTTGGTCCCGCACTTTGATTTGATAACTCTTTCTATAAACTCCATCACTTTTCTCTTAGAGTTGGTATTACTTGAGTACACCTACCATTTATGTTTTCATTTCCACAAAACTTACTCGCAAATTATGGATTGCGTGTTTTATAAGAGTTGACACATACGTGATATGCAGCATGCTTTATTGATTCCATTCTTTACGAGATATGTTGACAAATTACAAAAACCATTTACCTTTAGATAAGGTAAATATCGTTTGACTTATTTTTATGACAAAAACAATCACTTATGTAAATAAATCTGAAATCTATATGAATCTAAAAGTTGTAGGGACGGCCACGGTATCATATTTTATTTATAATTTTAGTTATGTATTTCGTAAGCTTACAAAACTATTTTAAAACCAAGTTTTATGAACACATAAAATCAAAGAGCGAAACTTTAATAGGTTCATAATTAAACAAACAAACCTTTGTAAATGCTAGTACATAGTATATTATATATTTGGAATTTAATATATTTAAAGAAAAAGGTAGTTTCGTTGTAAAGGCATCTGGCGTAAACTCGCCTTCTGTTATACTCTTGGATAGATTATTTATTATATATTTTATATAAATGATTAAATTTAGTAGAATTTGTTTCTTATAATAATTAATAATAATTAATTAATAATAATTAATAAATTCTTTGTGTAATAATTATTCACCAATAAAATTTAATTTTTATAACTCAGAATATTTTTAAAAGGAATTTAAAACGTTACATGTTTGCTAGTTCCGAATCGTAACCATTTAATAAATTTAATTAATACTTCTGCTTTACTACAGTACTATTTTTAAAGTTAAAAATATTGATATATTTAAGCTAAAGTTCTTCCTATGAATATGTTTATTATTTAATTGGATGTAAAATTGTGTGTTCCACCTTTATTTTTTAGTGAACGCTGGAGTTTCGCTTTGTAACTTATATTGTATAGACCAACAGTTTTGATTTGTTCCATATGTTGTTCTATTTTTGGTGTTCGTAAAGAAATAAGTTCAGATATTTAAACTTCCGTTGCATAAAAGCGAGAAATATTAATTTCAGAAAGGTGTCTCGCTTCTTTAAAATATATGAAACCGATTCTAGCACGTCTTTACAGCTAAAAAGTCGAGAGAGCATTCTGAAATATGGCGATTCATTAAGATTGACAATAGAGGAATGGATTTAGGAGTTTTTCGTAAGATTGGATAAAAGAACAGTTGTAAAAATCAATTTTATTATAAGATTAAATGCAAATCAACTCCAGAAAACGATTTCTGAATCCTTTCTAGCAACTGACAGAGAATATTCAGTTAAAAAACCGAGAGAACATTGTGAAATATGGTAATTAACAAAGTTTGTGAATGGATTTACGAATGGATGGATTAAAATGAATAGAACCCAATCGCAGAAAATGATTTCAAAGTCATTTGCAACATATATTAAAATGTCTCACTACCTGTGCAGGTAATAGAGTACCACTTTTCGTTCGAGTTAAAGGAGTTAAAGAGAGCATTTCATATAGAGGTATTCATGTTTAGAAAAATATTTTCACAATTTTTCTTCGCTCTTAAATATTATGTTTTTAGAATATGTTTCAATTTTGTTGTAGGGTTTAAGGTTAAGTTCTTGTATGGTTTGTTTTTTTAAATCGCACGAAGTTAGGTACTTAAAAAATTAGTCAGACATGGTGGAAATGACATTAACTTGCGGATTAAATCCAAACCCATTTTATGTAGTGTATTAAAAATGACATGTAAGGCAAAATTACTTTTGTATATCGCGTAGTATGTAGAAGTATTTTCATGTAGTTAGTACAGTGACACTAGTTAGTACAGTGTACTAATAAGTAGTTAGTATAGACTGCAAGTACCAAAAGTTAAAGACCTCTTCTACCAAATTTGAAGCTCAGAGCCAGGTTTCATTACCCAATTGACGAACCAAAGCCTTGCTTGACCTTGTATGTTCGAACTTGGATTTTTTTGAATATTTGCTGCGAACGTTCATTTAAAAAGTCACTTAATTTATATATTAGAACGATATCATAAACCAGGTGTAGAATAATTGAATTAATTAATTATATTTTCATTAATAATGATGTTTTTTGACCAGTACGTTTTTTAAATTATAAGACTACTCTGATCATGTAACTGGGATGTGAATAAAAAATTAATTTATTTTATTTTTTAACCCGATGTTTCGTTGGTTTTTTTCCAACATCTTCAGGAGTGTCAATAATTTAATGGATTCATAAATAATTAATTAATAAAAATGTAATAAATTAATTTTTTATTTGCATCCCAGTTACAAGACCAGAGTGGCCTAATAAAAATTATAATTTATAAATTTGATTATGGAGTAACGATACTCAGGATAATCAGGAAATGTTGCTGTTTACGAACTTTACGTCTTAATTTAGCAGTGTAGGAACACATATGGTACAGTTCAGCTTTCGTTGTTTAAAATGCTATCAACTGAGTTAGTGTCAACTAGTATCTGATAATTAGAATTATGAGATAGGCATTAGATATATCTGTTTATTTATCAACTCTTCTTGTTCTTGTTATATTCGAATGTTTTAAAGCCTTAAGTAGGGTCTTTAGCAAAAACTATTGAGAAATATTGAGTTAGTTTCAATTAGTATCTAATAATTCAAATTAAATTTTATCAAATTTAATATGACTCTCTGTAGAATAAAAATTAGAAAATATATGATTTATAAGTCTGTAAATTGATATACAATTATGAAATTTAAATATTTATTTAATAAATAAACTTTAAATATAGAGAAGTCATTTTTATTTCGAAATAATTTACACTTTAACACGATAAAATTAATGGCTGTAGTTCAAAAGATTATAATTAAATTAATTTTTACAAAACTATATATATAAATTTTATATATTATATCTACTTATATGAGTGTGTTCACTGGGTTATATGGTACAATGATTTTATCGTGATTTTATTTTCCTGTTTTTATATGAAAATAAAGAGATTTGTTATGAAGTTATTAACACCATTAACGACGCAAATCAATGCCAATATTTAACGTCATTAAAACGAGTATTTTTTTCTAAATCCTCCGCAGTTGAACACTTCCAAGAAATTTGAAGAAATAAGGTGAAGAAATTGTTATTATTTAAATTACCACAATTATTATTGTTTAATTTATTTAATCTGCATTATTTTGCGAAACGTAATGCACATAAACTCGTAAGTGAAAAATTGCGAACTCAGCAGTAAAAACGCTTTTAATGAGCAAACCCACAAAATTACAGCAAAACGAGATTTAATCCAAATTACCGGGCTATGGAGATCGCAGCGAGTGTCGCTGATAGAAACGACAACCGCAAAGATGATGATGATGCGCGATGTTAATTATGTTAACAGAAGAAGAGGCCGTTGTCTGTTAGACGATGTTAAGTGCAGTTCACATCAATACATCAAAACAAAAAAACAAAAAAAAAAAAAAATTAAATAATAGAAATAAAAAAAAATCAAATTAAATAAAAAGAAGTTTTTTGTTCGACACTGAAACAAATCACGATTTGCGTGGTGGCCAACAACAAAACTGGACGGCGTTTGCCAAGTGGAAATGGTCATGTAATCGTTAGAAATATCAAAACTTGAAAAGAAGTGGATGACTTTGCTTTGGATTTGAAGGTTTGAAGGTGATAAGACTGTTTGTTTGGTTATTTTATGTATTGTTGTTTGTTTACATATCTTGTGGGCATTATTTATTACATAAACCTGCTGCAGTAGATTGGGATTTACATACCTAAAGTGTGCCTAATAATAAAGCATGCTCCGTGCATTGGGTCAATCTCATGGATGCATTATGTAGTCTCGCTCTAAGCATGCAAGACAAATTTCTTCATTAACATTTTAAACTTAAGATGGTTACCTTAGATTGTTACTTTTATATGCTGCTGGCAAAGTTCAGATGGTGCAGATTAGCATAAGATGAGATGTGCCAAAGTTGGGACCAGTGGTGACGAAGTGTTATGTATCGTTTACAGTAAAGCTGTTTTGGCAGCTTTTATGCTGTTTGGAAAATGCGATATGTTTTTATAGTAAATTTTTTTTTTGTTGTATATATGCAAATCGGAAACTGATTATATTGTATATGATTTCATACGCTAATCACTCATACGCACTACTACTCTTGTGTTTTAGCTTAGTGTCTGGTGATTTGCTTGCCCATTGCCGTATGGCTTATATCAGTAGACTAATTGTTAAAATTCGTATAAAAGTAGGAAGCTCCAGCAGTAGAGGTATCAGTTGTTATTTGACTCTTCTTGTGCTCATCGAGCTCAAAGCAAAGACAACATGAAGGTTTGTTCGTTTAAACATTCAGGGATAATTAGTCAAAATTTTGTAGCTGTGGATTAACAGAATTTTGAGCTATAAGTCCCGAATCTGTGTGATGAACTAAAATGTGTTTTCTATTTTGACAGGTATTTGTTTGTTTACTTGCTGTTTGTGCAGTAGCCAATGCTGGATTTTTGGGAGGCCTCGGAGGAGGTGGCGGTGGCGGCGGCGGTGGTGGCTGGTCCGGTGGTGGTGGTGGCGGCTACGGCGGCGGTGGTCACGGTGGTGGTGGTGGCGGCTACGGTGGTGGCGGCGGTGGTGCTCCCGTAAAAATCATCAAAATCATCTCTGAAGGAGGTGGTGGTGGTGGTGGATATGGCAGCGGTGGCGGCTACGGAGGTGGCGGCGGCGGCGGCTGGGCTGCTGGCGGTGGTGGCGGTTATGGTGGTGGTGGCGGCTACGGAGGCGGCGGCGGCGGCGGTGTCGGTGAAGTCAAAGTCATTAAAGTCATTTCACAAGGATCCAGCGGTGGTGGCGGCTACGGAGGCGGTGGCTACGGAGGTGGCGGCGGCGGTGGTGGCTGGGCTGCTGGTGGTGGTGGCGGTTATGGTGGTGGCGGATATGGCGGTGGCGGCGGCGGCGGCTCCGGTGGTGTTGTCAAAATCATTAAAGTCATTTCACAAGGCGGTGGCGGCGGAGGCGGCGGCGGCTATGGCGGTGGTGCTGGCGGCTGGTCCGGTGGTGGCGGTGGTGCCGGTGGCTGGTCCGGTGGCGGCGGCGGCTGGTAAACAAACAAAGCCGACGAAGTTTACTTTGTGATATTTACAGAGAGTTCAAACTGATTTTTTCTGTTTCAACAATTTTAACCTCATTTTTGTTTCATTTTATTTGTTTTTTTTGTGTAAAATAAATTTTCAAACTTAACAAACAAAATATATTTTTCTCAACCATAATTTTTGGATGAAGTAGTGGAAGTAATGCAGTAGTTCTAGGAATGCATAACTTCATAGATACATTTTTATGATTGATTAACTCAGAAAATAGTGGCCATAAGATTTGTAAAATAATTTTGGGAGTCAAAAGCATTTGAGTGAAGTCTTGTTGTTACCCTTAAGGATATGAAAAGCTTCTGGATCATTTGTTTATAATAAATATTGATGTATGTTTTGGTTCCAAAAAATATGTTATTATGTTAGATAGCATCCAAAAAAGAAGTGAGTCAAAAATTTTATTTTAACTGCTTGTAAATATTTTTTATCAAAGGTAAAGTAACAATAAAATTTTATGAGGATCTCAAAAATAACTGAATTAAACCATATATTAAATAATTTTTAATGAAATCGAAATTTTAATTTGTATTGTTTTGAATAATTTTCAAAAATCCATAAATAACGTCGCATAGTTTATGATTTCTTTGGCTTACTTATGTAAATTTTTATATCTTAAAATAAAATTAAGTATTCGATTGTATTTAATATGGGCAGATGTTTGATATAGTGAGATAAAAACAGCTTCGTCATTTTCGTTATAATTAACACCATTTTATAGTCAAGCTGATAATAATTTCGATATGCGTATTTTAAATCAGATATAGTTATTAACTTTTCTTTAAAAAATTGCTGATAATTTTTATAATTTTATTCATAATATCTTAAATAGCTGGATCAAAATAAATAAAATTATGTACAATTACTTTTTTATCTTCAATATTGCATTGAATATAAACATTAATAATAACTATAAGTTCAAAATATTATTCATCTAAAATTATATTGTTAAATACAATCATTAAGCCGCAAATTACTATAATAATTTCTTAATACTGTAACGTATATAAAATATATGAATTAGACTATATAATTCTTGATAATACATTTATACATTATTATAAACAAATACATATAAGAGATCATGCAGTCTACAAATACTGAACTTAAAAAGTATATATAATTGTTTAGAGGTTGATTTGTCGCTGTGATATTAATATGTTGAAAGAAAAAAAAGTTTTTTTTTTAGAAAATATTTAAAAATAAATCATTTAACAACATTCTTAAAGTACATATTTATAAAGCTGACTTTCAAAATTGCCATCTACCGGAGTATTTATTTTAGAGGAGAAATAATGAATTGGCAAATCATATGTACTGCAAAGATACTTTTTTGATTGGACAGCGGTTAGCGTCAGCTGATTGCGTAGATTAATTGTGACGAACCTTTTCTGACGTCCACTTTTGGTGTGTCTGGAGATTGTTGTAAATAATTGTAAAAATAGGCGATTGTAATAGGCGATTGGAGATTGTAAAAAAAGGCATGCCGTTTTCAATAAAGTTCGAATTATGTTAATTGCGTATAAACAGTCACAGTTCTATATGTACGGATGAATCTAAATTGAGGAACAGGCTTTTCACAGCATAATTACAGAATATTCTTTCCGAAAACCAGATCATTATGGTTTATTCCAAGCGAAGTCAGTATCTTACCATTGAGCAGGCAGAGCTTCAAAATGGTTGTATATACTCGCATAGTCAAGTCGTGATTAAGGTTCTGTCCTCTATGTTTGTGAGAGATTAACAAAACCAAATACCATTTTTAATTGCTGGAAACCTCTTAATGAGTTTTCTGAGAGGTGTCACATACACATGGAATGGGTGCCAAATATGTTATTACCACAGAAATACTTCCCAAAAATTAAGCTCAAGCAAATAAGAATTTCAAAACGAATTGCATGAACTAGTTAACTCAGAGAGAAGAATATTTTAACCGAGAAACGATTATGTATATGTTCAGAAGTAGATGGAAAATGATTGGTAAGCACGAGCTTCCTTAAATAATTTTTGTAGGAGCTTTGTAGGAAAGAATTTACTTTATGCCAGTTTGCTTAAAGAGTGTATCTATGTAGTTATGCTAAGAGCCAGTACGTATGTTAAATCTGAATGTGAAAAATGTTCTTATGAAGTCACAATCCATGAGAATGATACTCGATATCTCACAGAAAGTAATATCATTAACAAGTAAGTTCCTGGTTAGCAACATGACTGATGACTTCTGTAATGACTTAAGTTTATTTTGTAAGTATCTGATGATTGCTATTGTGCACAATTATGATTTATTTTTAAAACAAAACTTAAATATGTATGATTATAACTTTTAATTATGTTATCATGATTCTAAATATGTGTGGTTTATACTTAATTATTATTGACTATTTTGATCATTTTAAAATGGAATATTGATATTGCTTTTCATCTTATGTTAGTCACCATAAATATATGTTTGACTGTATTTATCGAAGATCTATATATGAATCAAATCACTATCATATAAGGAAGACTACTTAAGGAAATAAATTATCTGCAAAAAAACGTTGTTTTGGTTTTTAACAATTTTACCGAAAAAAGAAGAAATTTATAAAACTCATAATCCAAACCTAACGTCAATTTTTTTATATTAATTTGGTTTGATCAACAAACTCTTCTCAATTAATTTGCAAAAATACAAAATCAAACTTTATATTTTTTTTATTAATATTATTTACAATACATAAAAAAATTCACTTTATTATGCTAATTTCGCACAGCAGGTGATTTTACTCCACTAAGTTGTGAATTAGCTATATTACTTTGTTAGAGAGAAAAAAAATAGGTATTAATAATACATACTTTACATACCAGCAAGTACATAGGAAGGTTTTAGACTATATGATTTCTGTTTATACTTAAGTGCAATAGATCCTAAGATATGTTCCAATTTTGTTAAAATATAAGTTTCCACAGTGGAATGCCTTTGAGGCCCTATGCTCCACAAAGATATAAAGGAATTGAAAAGAAATGGATTACCTTTATCTGTTCAAACGAGCAAGTTTTTAATAGTCTCTTTCCTTTTTATTCTCTTTCCATTCTACTTCTATTCTGATTGAAGAAAACGTTTCATTGTTCGGCATGCGTGTCTATTGATCTTGTTAATTAGGTTTTCTTAGTATAACGCCTTAATCTGTTATTGGCAGTCCAAATGATTTCAAGTGCACCGATTCGGTTTTTTATTCTATTCTGCAACTCATGTAACTCTGGTTAAAGTGAAATGTTTGTTTATTGTAAATCGTAGAAATGTTTTAAATGTACGTCACGGCATATATTATTCTTTCATCTAATCTTCATTTATTTGGTTTCAATGGTGGAGTGAAATGATATAGTTAGACTTAAGCGTTGATGTTATATGTGTTTAATTACAACTTTCCTATAGCTTTGATATTGATAACTACTGTACAAAGATTTAGCCAAGTAGCCATGAATTTGCCATTTTGACTCTAATCCCACCCAATAATCCTTCTGCTCCGGTTGATTGACCATGCTTTTTGGTAGTCCACAGTAGTCTCTCCTTAGAGTTCTGCTCATCTTAGAAAATGGCTTTGATATGAGCGGATTTAAATCCATGATTTAAATCAAAAACAAAACTTTTTGAAGATGGTGGATTAATGAGAAATCATTTCTAATGTACGACGCTTAAGACAGCATTTATAAAAACATATTAATAAATTCAGATAAATCGTCTATTACAGACAGTAGAGTATATTTATCAATGTTTTGAGATGTTTTTATTGTTTTGTTACTAATTCTGTTACTAATTTTTGGCAAATTAATGCAGAAAAACAAATATTTAAACATAAGTTGAATATAAGGAAATATATTTTGAGCTTTTGTTCAAAAAAAAAACGATAACAAATAAAAATTTAAATTACAAAGAAATTTTTTATTCATAATATTTTATAGTTTAGTCCAATTAAGAGCTATTAAATTATTACAAATATGTATATTATTTGAAAAATGTGTGATATATGAAACCATCTTTATTGGTGTTGGAGAAAAGAAATCAAAAATATTTATTCAGTTTTTAAGAAATTTTTCTTAATATTTTTATTTTAAAAAAATTATGTGTTTATTATTAATTATTTTTTTATTTTTATTTATTTATTATTTTTTAATTAAGTAAAATATTTGTTATGGTTAAATATTTATTTTATGTAGGATATTACATAGGATGTTGTAAGATCTTACTAAGGGATATCACAATAGACCATATACTAACTATTATAATAAAATGATTTCGAAAAAAAAATTTAAGAATCAACAAACTCCTAGAAATTTATTTCAATTTCTTAGATTACAGATTGCATTTATTACCTACTTATAATTAAACGAACAAAGTTTTTAACATCAACTACTAACTTCAATCAATTAGATATATTCCTTAAACATATATTTCCCCTTATTATAGAAATTTTTTTTTATTTAAAGAACTCACACGATATTGCTAATGAGCGCCGATTAAGAACTAAGCAATCATAATTTAGCATATGGATCAAGAACCATGTCAGGAAAACTTTTTCTTTTTAAAATGCTTAAAAAAGAATTATTGGGCATTTGATTGAGAAATAATAATTTCGCAATTACTACATGTAATATATAGTCAGAATTAATAGAGTTACTTAAAAAGCTTATAGAGAGAGTTACTTACTTATTGTACTTCTACTTATTGTAGAAAAAATGATAGAACGAGTAGAAAATTGGAACAAAATCACGCAATTCATTGGAAATGTTTTAAGGGCCTGCAACAGTAGCGGGGCCTGGACGCAGGGCACACCGATGGAAGTCTTAAATGACTAGCAGGGACCCTACCTCGAAGTAATACTAACGTAGTCCCGGGTCTCTAGGAATGAGGGGGAGTGGTTTAGCCCGTGCCAGTCGGGCATTCACCTTCCGGGGCGCCGGATTGTGGTCAGTGCGTAGGCATTCCACTCCTCCTTGCCCAAAAAAAAAAAACAAAAAAAACAAACCTAGCTCATAGAGTAGTTATAGAAACGAAAATGAAAATTCAAATTATGGGTTCGAAAATTCGATCAGTCAGCACATTTTCTGCAATTTTTTCAGTTTACAACTGGGAAATGGCAGGATATTTGAAGCCATCATTTTTCCATCTGTGCGATACTATATTGCAATCATAATCGGCAGTGAGATTTATTGAAAGCATCCTTAATAAGATCACAATTATTGAAGATATCGACATAGTTCCAACATTTACTACACGATCACACTTCCATAAGTGACAGTAAGATATCGTTATAATAATTGTGCGAAAACAGATTGATTGGCTTAAATGACACAGTTGAATGCTGATTCATAAAAAGATATTTTTTTATCAAGTCCGCTATAACAGCGAGTGTTCCTGAAAACTGTGGTATTATGTGGTATTATTTGTAATGAGGAACCGACTAACATTTCTTCCCAGACGAACTACAGCTCGTAGTCTAATATCATCAGGAAGACTATAAGTGTTTTTAAAGATTTATTGCCGTAAAAATAAAAATTATTCCAAAAAAATAATTAAATTACTTATTGATTTTTCTACACGTTCCGATTTTAAATTAGAGATAAGTTAGCTCAAATAAAGTTACATTGCCATGTAATAGTACTGAGAAGAGCTTGCACGATATCATATTACATTTTTCAGAATATCCTCGCGCCATCTGAATTTTTTTTTGCACTTCAAATCTGTTAACCAGCATAAATATTTACTTCATTTATTTATTATTTTAATATAAATAAAATTTTTAATATTTCCAGTTATCTTCAGTTTTCACTTTAAAGGTGCATCTTCTTCACTCAAAGATCCAACACAAACTAACTGAAGACAAGTCAGAACCCAAAGTTTAAGTATTTATCAAAGTATGATTACGGAATTTCCCATTTAATTTTTTCTCATAAAATATTCTTCTTATTTAATTAAAATTGTGTTTAAAAATAAAATAGTTGCTAATTTTAGTTGTTTGATTTTTTGCACTCACCGAATTATGATTAATGGATTTATATCAGTTCAGAAAGTTGAATCCAAAATTTGTACAAAATACAAAATAGAAAAAAATTTAGAAGAAGAATATATTGGCGCATCTTCAGAAAAGAGAATGTTTGGCATTTGTTCGCTATTTAATCATTTTGATTGCTGAGTTCACATAAACTTTTGTATCTTTTATTTTAATTTCATCAGTCCAACATTTGAGGAATGAAAATTCATTTATTTAAAATTTTATAACTTTTTTATGATATGCAAGAAGTGTAAGTAGTTCTCAAAATAACTATGACTGAAGTGGAATAATAACAATGTTTTTGTTAAATAATTTGCTGATATATTTTTTATAAAAAAATTCTTTATTTGTTACATATCCTGTATAACAAAAAAACCATTTTTTATAAGCTTTTAATTGCATTATATCAAATGAAGTTACTTTTTATGTTATCACTTGATTTATGGAATCAATGTGCTAGAAGATGCATCCTTATTGAACAGTAGAATGCCTTAGCAATGGAACACGTTTTTTTAAGTCATCGAACCACAGATTTTTAAGTTGAGATAGAGATAGAGGTTAGATTTAGATAAGGCTTCAGATAAAAGCCTCTTAGGTGCACTTACCCATCTATATAAAGCCGTCGCTAATAATATAATAAATTATCGAAATCACAATGCAGAGTATTCCCTGCTTTATTACTAAGAATTATATGACAAATAAAATTAGTCAAGAAGTGGTTATAAAAATTGATATAGCTGAGCACATTATTATATATACTGTTTGCTGCGTGTAATGGGATTGTCGTTATTGAAACGAACTTGCTTATCAGCAATACTGTAAAAAGCATTCTTATGGTATCCTCTAGGTGATGAAATTTTAAAAAGTATATTTAAAAATTAGTACCTTATATGATAAACTTGAATGAGCATTTCAATTATATTCAATTACAATAATACAAACACAATAGACCAATCTGGAATGAATCCATCATATCAGACATATTCATTGGTCACTCATAGATAACACGGTCTGCTAAATTTGAGAGATAGGAATATAGCGTATATGATACTACAATTATAATATAGTATATTATTAGAGTACTTATATTATAAGAAATTATATTATATTTATCTTATGTGAAATTAATGTTATGTTCCATCACATCAGACATATTCATTGGTCATTCATAGATACCATGCTAAATTTGAGAAATAGGTATATAGTATATATGATACTACAATTTTAATATAGTATATTATTAGAGTACTTATATTATAAGAAATTATATTATATTTATCTTATGTGAAATAAATGTTAGGATTAGAATCCATCATATCAGGCATATTCATTGGTCACTCATAGATACCATGGTCTGCTAAATTTGAGAGATAGGAATATAGCGTATACGATACTACAATTATAATATAGTATATTATTAGAGTACTTATATTATAAGAAATTATATTATATTTATCTTATGTGAAATTAATGTTAGGATTAGAATCCATCATATCAGACATTTTCATTGGTCAATCATAGATACCATGCTAAATTTGAGAAATAGGTATATAGTATATATGATACTACAATTTTAATATAGTATATTATTAGAGTACTTATATTATAAGAAATTATATTATATTTATTTTATATGAACTCAATGCTAGGATAAGAGTCTTCAGAAGAAACATTAGACTAGACCAATTAATTTTGGTGAAATGTGATATCTATCAATGGCTCTACTATTGAAACTATCTAATATAAACCATTACTTCTAGTAGTAGAGTTATAGAGTTATATTAAGTAATTCTAAAAATAATTGTTATCTTATTAAAGAAAGTCTTTTCTATAAGAGGAAAGTGTGTTTTGAAGTGAAGAAATTGACTATAAAATATTTTTTTAAATATTTTTTTTTATTTTTTATATAGTAAAATATTTAGTTTAGCCATAAACTTGTACTCTTTTTGTGATATAAATGTGAGACTGTATCTAAAGTATACCATGTATCATTTAATATACTATACCAAAGTATAGAGCAAAAAATGTATTAAACATTTGTGTGCTTCCTTATTATCAATAATATTTTTAATTAATTTTAATGAAAAAAAAAATTTAAATATTAATCATAAATACTAAAATTTAAAGTTAATTAATTAAATATAATTATAAGTTGAAAGTGTTAACGTAGAAGTACTTATCAACACTAGCCCCCACAGTAGACAATTATACTCTCATACTCAGACTTGAGATAAAATTATATAGACACTGAACCATTTCGCAGTCATTAAGCATATCATCAATTATACGAGTAGGAACTGAACAGACTCATAACAGATGAAATAAAAAACTTGTAAATAAAATAAAAAATTATAATAATAATTGAAAACAGACAAAAAAGGTATTAGTTTGTTATTTGTTTGATTTTTTTCGAAATCGAATCAAAGAAATTGCGACGTACGAGGCGAGCGGAAAACTAAGTTTAAATTGCTTGCAAAATTCATATATCGAGTTTTTTTTCTATAGTAATTTTATCACAATTTTTTGCTTAATAAATTATTTTCTTGTTCTTAAAAATAAAGATTATTTTGTTAAAAACCATTAACGCATCGTGAGCATTTCAGTTGAGAAAATTTGCTATATAATGAGGATGCTTTGCCAATTGGAATTATTCTGAACTGTGATCTCTAGATTAGCTCAATATGAAGGTCAGTAATGGAATTGAGCTTTTGGATTAAAATGGATTATAATATTTCTTCATATTTTTAGATTTTTGTTTGTATTTTGGCATCTTTGGCCGTAGCAAATGCTGGAGGTGGCTATTTGCCAGGCGGCGGTGGTAGAGGTGGATTTGGTAGATCGTCACATGGTGGCGGTGGATTTGGTGGTGGTGGATTTGGTGCTGCCAGTTCAAGTGCTGCTGCTAGTTCGAGCATCAGTGGTTTACATGGTGGTGCTGGGTTTGGTGGCATAGGAGCACGAAAATTTGCTTCTTACGGTAGTGGCGGACATGGACCTGGTGGTGGTTTTAGCGGCGTTAGTCGTTATGGCGGTGGTGGTTCTCATGGAGTCAGCAGTTTTGCAGCAAGCGCTTCGGCACCTGGTGGCGCATACAGCTCACACGCCTCTATTGGTAGCTTAGGTGGCTCTTATGGTAAATCGTATGGTGGTTCTGGAGGTGGCGGCTGGGGAGGTGCTGGCGGTATTGGTGGCAGTTATGGTGGCGGCGCTGGAGGTTATGGTGGTGGTGCTGGAGGTTATGGTGGTGGCGCTGGAGGTTATGGTGGCGGTCTAAAGAGTAGTGGCTGGTCAGGTAGCGGTGCTGGCGGTTATGGTGGTGGAGCTGGAGGTTATGGTGGCGGCGCTGGAGGATATGGTGGTGGTGCTGGAGGTTATGGCGGTGGTTTAAAGAGCAGTGGCTGGACAGGTAGCGGTGCTGGCGGTTATGGTGGCGGTGCTGGTAGTTATGGTAGCGGTGCTGGCGGTTATGGCGGTGGCGGTTTCGGTGGAGGCTTGAAAAACGGCGGTGGTTGGGCTGGAGCTGGCGGTCTTGGTGGTGGTTCAGGTGGCTTGTATGGTGCTGGCGGTAGCGGTGGCTACGGTGGCTCAGGTGGTTATGGCGCTGGTGGTAGCGGTGGCTGGGGTGGCGCTAGTGCTTCCAGTTCTGCTAGTGCTTCCTCCGGTTGGTGGTAAAATTAGTACCTCAATCAACTAACGTGATATTTTTGATATGTTAAACCAGAAAATTTTCTTAGAGAAATAAATTACTCAATATAAAAAATTTAATTTTTATTGTGTTAACACTTGGTAGTTGAAAAACAGTTTCTTCCTCTATAAGATAATTACAGTATTTGCAAAATAATTTCCGTTCACATAAATAGCAAATCAATAATAAAATAAAGTATCTTCTATTGCATGCAGGTTTCTTTTTTCTAAACTATTATGACTTCACATTTATTTTACATCATTGAAAAGTATTTAAGTAATTTATATATGTGATAATTGCTTTCGTCATGTTTCTTTGCATAACTTACGCTACTAAAGTACAACATCACTGCAAGTAAGACAATCGCGACGGTTGGTTACTTCTCGCAACAATATAGAGTTCGTTTCGAGTATCTGTTAACTAAATAAAGGCAAATGAAAAACTTTTTACTTTAAATTATAAATATTTACCTAAAACTAAAAATATATTACATGTGTTTATTTTCTCACATTGAACGCAGAAAAGCTTAAAGGTCTGTAGATGAGTTTTCAGTTTAGATTTTTTAATTAAAACTTATTTTGTGGAAGCAAGTTTGTGTCTTAAGTCTTTTGTTGTACTCAATGTCAGTGCCAAACTACTGGGCTTTATTTTAAAAATTAGTTTGTGTGCAAATGAAATCAGTGATCAGTGAGCTTTGCTGTTAAGCTTTAAAGATTCAAACAGTTTTTTTTAAATTTATATTAAAATTTAAATTTTATTTTATTTAAGTTTGAAATGTATTTCATCTTTAAAAAAAATTTTGCGAAGATTTTTAACAAGAGCTTTGATGTTTTCTTCTGCTATCGCTTTTTATACCAAAATTTTTGGTCTAAACCAAACTGGTATAAACATTTGAATTATAAAAGCTAAGCTTTTGTTGTTTAGATTGACTCTTCTTTCTCACTGTTGACTGGGGTTATTGAAGTTCATGGTCGGAAACATAACAAAAAGTGTAAGTAAAGTTGACTTTGATCTGTTACGTGGCTTGATGAGACGTGATTTTCTTATTTGGGTTAATGTAACTTGGAAAAAGTGGTTTGATATACCTAAGAAAGTACTAAAAGCTGCTGTAGATACAATTACGTGGTTGTATTAAAAAAGAAAGGTAGCTAACGAGAATGTATATTTCGAAGTTGTTATATGTTATTTTCTTAATTCGTTGTCAGAATAGTCAGCTAGCAATAGTTTTGAAAACTTAGTGGAAAAAAATCAAATAAAAAAATTTTTAATAATATTCATTTTAATAATAACCATATCAAAAAATTTTTATTATCCGCAGCTATAAGTAAACCTTAGTCTATTTAAACACTTATTTTTAGATTAATATTTTAATATGTAAAGGAATTTCTTTAAAAGCTCAATGCAGACACAATGAAAATAGTTTATTATGATTACGCATTTTTTTTAGCCTGAACTGAGATACAAGTTAAAAGTTTTGAAGTTACATTAGATTTGTAAAGTCATATATATTATATTAAATTGTAGTTTTCTCATATTTAGATAAAAAACTTTAAAATTTGAAAAACGTGAAACAAATATATTGCTAAATTAGAAGTTAGAAAAATAAAGGAGCAAATTTCGTAAGAATGCTGGATTGGAAGATGGAAACATTCTACAAATTCATTTCATATTCTCTTTGCAAATTTCAACAGTTTTTAGAGATACTCGTTTAATTAAATTAATAAATAAGTCAAAATTTGGTACAATTCATGAATATCCGCAGCTATAAAACAATAAAATTATATCGCTGGATTTTGTGTACAAATTTTATGGATAAAAACACTATTAAATCGTTAAGTACAATTTAAGCGAAAAAATATTTAGTTGTAGTAGTCAAAACAGCTGTATTGTCAGCCAAAAACTTAATTTATGAAGAATAATAAAAATTTTTGTTGTTGCAATTAACTACTGTTGGATAAAAACCTCTCTATTGAAATCAATTCTTTATACTAAGAATTTAATTTCTTTTTGTCAAAACAAACGTTGAAATTCAATTCTATAATTATCTGTTGAATAGTCGTTGTTGCAGTAAATTACTTGCAATAAAATTATTTATTATTATTGCCAAGATTTATGGTAAATAATATAAGTAAGACATCATTTATTAAAATTAATGTATTCAGATTTATTTATTTATTTACATACGATTGTCAACTAATTCATTTAATATCAAAAACAAATATTAAAAAAAATTTTATCCAAAGTAAAAAAAGTATTTTGATAATTATTTTCCCCATGCTTTAGCACTTGCACTGCTGGAGGCGCTTGCATAAGCTCCA